CCCTCGAGGGCCGGTGCGACGCGTTGCCCAGTGTTTTGGCAACGCGCCGGGCCGCGCCGCCGAGGGCCGCTCTCTTACCTGAATGGCCGTCCCAACATACATCTACCGCCGGAGGGAGTAGGAAGCAAGAACCAGCCACTGCCTCTTCGGGATGTACACGTTCCTCCTCGGAGAGAGGGGTGGGCTTAAAATCGCTTTCAAAAAGGCGGAGCCCCAGGAATGAACCCGTCAAAAGCGAGACCAGACCACGAAACTCTATTCGTCCAGCGGCTGATACCCGACTGGCCTTCAGCGCGCCCGCCGCCGTCGGGGTAGCGTGACTGCTACCTGGAACGGAGTCTCGGCCTGGCTGTCCAGGTTTCGTCCATTCGGCAGAGGATTGCAAGCCCACCTTTAAAAAGGCAGCACCAGGAATGAACTCCTTAGCGCCAGAGTGCCGTGTCATGATGCATTGGCAGTAAATTAATCGTCATAACCTTTTACAGTCAAGGTGTCACATCAAATTCGTAATTATCACATTCGGTAACAGCAAACTGAATCAAATACGAGTGAAAAATGACACAATCATAACAATGACTAAAAAATGACATAATAAAAGCAACGACTAAAGAAATAACGTACCTAAAACAAACATTTAAACACGATTTACATACTTTGTGAGTGCCACAATGAATGCTGGGAAAGTACAGTGCCCCGCTCAGCATTCCGCGAGCGTATGCTGGAATACACGAAGACAATTCAAATTTAGAAATGTATACACCTTCAAAAACTTCTTAAAATACATCGTGACGATGGAAAGAAGTGGCAGAATGTCATTTAATTAATTTCCAAAATATCATTACATAAGTAAAAAGGAGCGAGAGTGGAAGCCATTTTATATTTCATGTGACGTCGAAGGAGGAGCACCCACCATGCTTTGCGGCACTAAGAATTGCGTTTAAATGCATGTTTTGTGACAATTATTTTCTTATTTGTTTTGGATACATTATTTATTCAGTCGTTTTTTCTCTCTTTTCAGCATCAGCTCAGACCGATTTCAGTTTGCTTTCATAAGTTTCGTTTTTAATGTAGTACCGTGATTGTACTGGAAATTCGGATTGGAGGGGTGCTATGGCGCGGCGTGTCCACCGGAGGGAGACACATACAGGCCTTCGGAGAGTGGGCTTTTGTTTGTTTTTTTTCGGAGTAGATAATTCAATCAACGAGTTGGTCGATTGAAGAAGGAAGAAACAAACAGCTAAATCATCCAACAGGAAGTGACACGAGGGGACAGAATTGTTTCCCGCGCCGTCATCGGTTTCGCTGCTGGTCAGGGCACTCCAAACCTGGGTCGACGAGCACAAAGCCGACCTTCGACGATTCAAACCGATTGGAGTGGTGCGATGGCGCGGCGTGTCCACCGGAGGGAGACACATCGAGGCCCTCGGAAATTAGGGCTTTGAGGTTGATCATTCAATATTTGAGTTGATACGTGGACGAATTTAGAATATAAACCTAAATCATCCAGCAGCTCGTGGTATGACAGGAAAGAATTATTTCCGAACGCCATTGTTACTTTTGGTGCTGCGAAAAGCCCCCAAAAGGGTGTCTCCGAGCAGAAAGGGGACGTTCTTTCCAAACGTAATGGAGGGGGGTGCAGTGGGGTGACGTCTCCACCGGAGGGAGCTACATTCAGGGCTTGGAGATGCTGGCTTTTATTTTGATCGATGATATCTTTGTCTTTGTTACAGCCGCGGCTGGTGTAAAAGCCCCCCCCCCACCCCCCCCAAAAAAAAGTTGGTCCGAGCGAAAAGAGGAGCCTCCATCCAAATAGATTGGAGGGGTGCAATGTCACGCCGTGTCCACCGGAGGGAGCTACATTCATCCCTCGCAGGTTGTGGCTTTGATTTTTCAGATTGATCAATCACGATACGAGTTGATACATGGAAGAACGAAGGCATAGTTTGAAAGGGACTTTCAAATCATCGGTTTACATGGCGTCCCAACTAGATCGGGGTTGGCAATTGGAACTTCACGTTTGTATGCGCCACACTAGAGGGCGCTGCTACACATCGCTTCAAAGTGAAGACAGTCGTGTGGTTCGGACACCCAACCCCCACAAAATAGTTTGAGTTGAACAGACAGAAAGGAGACGGCACCCGCAAAGCCCCCCTACCCCCCCCCCCTCCCACACACACACACATTCACCCCACACCCTGAGAAAACAAAGATTGCATGGAACAAAATCAAAAAGAATAACTGGAAAAAGGAAATCGTCCAAATATGACTTCTTCTGTCATGAACGCCATCACACCCTCTTTTATACTTTCCAGAAAGGGTTTCATGGAAAACGTCAAGTATTTCATGGAAACAGAAAGCATTTCACGGAAAACCAATTGAACCGGGGAGATAATGGTGAAATCCCGAGAGGACATCTCGAAGTAGCAAATGATTCTTGGATGAAACGTTGCTTCGTTGCAGATTTCCTTGGAAATGTCGAGGTGACCCCCGTTCCCCCGGAGGAGTGGTACAGCCCCCTCCTCCGACCTACCCCCGACTGAAGAGAATGAATGAAATGGCATTGGGATGCAGCGGGAGTCTCTGCAGCGACACATTCTTCAAGCGGGGCCGGCCGGCGCACACATTCCGCTCGGACTTCTGCCTCTTCCCGACCGAAGTCCGCGTGACTTTTGCGATGAACCTGCTCGTGTTGTTGCTGCTGATGCAGCACGCGGCTTCCCAGCAAAGAGGTGAGACTCGAAACGCAGAACTTGCATCAAATGTGAGCACATTGGCAGTCTCGAACTACATCGCGCACTCTTACATGCCGTGCACTTCAGTCGGGAAAAAGGACGAACTCGTCGGGAAAAACAAACTCCATTGTGCTCCATGCGAGCACTGCTAAATGGAAGCGCTTTCAGAAATGTTTGATGCTTTACGATCCAAAACCGGAGGCGACATCTTCGTTTCGATTGCGATTTGAGTTGACGAAGCACGCGCACGCGCGTCCTTGAGACGGAACGTGCGGATCCACGTTTCGTCTGGGAGACGTGTTGTCGCGCAACTCATCGCGGTCACTCGCTCGGGGCCACGGGCGCATACGGTAGAGTAGTGGAAGCGGTGCGGGTTGCTACCATAGGCCGCGAGGTGGCATTTTGGGGGAGCGGCTCGATTTGGGAAGCCCACCGGTGTCACTTGCACGTGACGAGCACAAAACAGGAGCAACGGCACCCAACGAGAACGGGCGCGCGCTCTCACGAGGAACGTTCACGCGGTCCTCGTACGACAGCGTGCCTATTGTTCGTGGGAGGACGACCGCTCGCCGATGCATGAACGAATGGTTCGCCCATCCGTGGCATTGGGCTTTACAAGTCTTGGGTTCCCCTTGGCCATGTTTAGGAGTGTGAGAGTATTTTTGTTGTTTCCCGGAACACTGTTTGTCACTTGCAAGGAAACCCATACGAGTTTGTTTGAGTCTGCGTGTGGCTGATAATTAGTGCTAGCAATCACTCACCACCTCCCCCCACACCCAAACACGCTGAACAAAAGCCCCCCCCCCCCAGGCGCTTGCATGTGCATGTGTATGAGAGAGAGAGAGAGCCCACCCACCCAGTTGATGCTTTCACACCTCCACAGCTGTGCGCACAACACTGTTGACCCTCTAAACAAGTGTCCTCTGGCTTTCATCAACAAAAGTGTACTTTGGCAACAATGATCCATTGTTTGTTTGAAGACTTTCTATTCTTCTATTTGTCCTCAGTTAGGTTGCGGGTGAGTCGGCACCCCGAACCGGTGACCGTTCAATTGCAAGGCGCATACAGGCTAAGCCTCACCTTATCAACGCCTTTGGATAATTGCATCTCAATCAGCTCGAGGACATCGGAGGGCGGGGGGAAGGCGGGAGTAGCGGCAGGAAAGCCAGGCAAGCGTGCCGACTGAGAACACGCGAAGCGGACGCGGCCGATCGGTCGACGCCGAGGACGACCCGCGGCAACGGGCGCGGGCGCGAACCAAAGCAAACGAGCGGACGAGACATGAACGCGGGGCCCGGGAACAGCGGACGTGAGCCGCGACAAGGCCGCATCTCATCGGAACGATGCGAAAGTCCAGACAAACGCGGTTTGCTCAACCACCTCCGCAGCTGCGCTGAACCAAGCTAGACGCTCGTTTTGTGCCATTTAAAAAAAAAAAAAAACACCACCAAACCAAAAAGTTCCAAAAGACTATATAGCGAAATGATGATCTCATGTCAAGTGTACTTACTCGGTGTGTGGAGCTTAGTATTAGCTCAACGCTTGGCTCTTGTTGTGCATCCGCCGTTTCTTTCTGTCAAGTTTCGTGCGATGGTATTAGAGGACCCCAAAAAGCAGGAAACAGGGAGGAGGGTGGGCTGAAATTAATGCATTCACTAAAAAAAGAGAAAAAGAAACACTTGCAGGAGTGCACTGGAAGAACAAAATCAGAGGAGACGAACAGAGTGCTCAAAATCACAAAATAGCCACAAGAAACCAAAGCAACCAATCAAGCCCAAAACCCCTCCAACAGGAGCACACTGACGCAGCTCCCGCGAGCCCGGCAAGTAAATACAAGCCGAGTGACGAGACAACGAGAAACACCTGGACAGGACGCAGAGGCTCGAGGCAGCCGATTGGTTGAACGCAAGGGACGCCGATGACGAAAGAGAGCAAATGTAACCTCAAGAATATCACAACACATTCCAGCTTCTGCCATGAAGAGGGGGAGCATTGAGTCGTTCCAAGTCGCCGGCATCGAGAAGCCGGGAAGGAAACGTGATTTGGAGTCACCAAACTCATTTGCGGCCCATTTCCCCGACCGTCTGCCACGGCACGCCGGCGTGGCGCAGAACCGCGGCAGACGGGTCCTTGAAGCGCTCTCCTTGACTTTAGCCCTCGAGGAAGCGGCAGACAAAACTCCGCCTTGCGGCTCGGAGCCGAGCGCCGGCGGGTTGGTTGAGCGCCGGCCTTGACAAAAAAGGCCCTTGGAAGCTTGAACGCCCGCGATTTGGATCGAGAGGCCTTTCCCCAAGTGGCGGCGCCAACTCTTCGGACTCGAATGGCACGACGTTGGGATGGCCGCCGATCGCTTTGCGCACGGGCCTTCGTGACCGGACGGAAAAGAAACACTTTTGGGTTGTCGCGGTCCGTCCGTTGGGCGACCAAGAAACAAAGCAGACGGCGCCGATGCTGGCCAGACACAACGCGGTTGCTCTTTTGGCCCACAAACGTCCTAAATAAGCGAGTCCGCGCAGGTTTCCGTTTGACTTTCGACATGTATTTTGTCAAATTGAGACTCAGTGGGTGGGG